GGCGCAGGGGGCGGAACCACGCATGTGCGGCGCTCCCGGGCAGGGAAAGTCCTCGACTTACGACCGGTTGGGTAGTCCTCGACTTACGACCGGTTTAGTCCTCGACTTACGACCGGTTTAGTCCTCGACTTACGACCGGTTTAGTCCTCGACTTACGACCGGTTGGGGTCGCGGCATTAAAAAGGTTGAGAACCACTGCCTTACATCATAAATGTTCGGTAAGTTAGGATTTCTTGTTTTCTTTCCCTGATGTTGTGTGTTGAGCAAAGGAAGGGGTTGAAGTGTTTCTTTGTTGCTGCTCTTATGTTGTTTCAACCATGAAGTTTAATTTAGGTTCAGGTTACAGTTCTCGCTTGCTTCTCGCCTCCAGTGAAAAATTCAGTGGTGCTGAATCAGATGGTCTGGAAGCCGGGATTACCAAAATCGGATGTAACAAGGCCACATGAAGCCCAGTCCATAGGTCCCCCTCCTCTTCCCCTCTAAAAAGATGGAATTACATAATTGCTGTTTGCATCTGGAGAAACAAAAGACAGTTGGGCACTCTTTTTTAAAGAAATGATGCAAACGGGCCTTGTAGGGTTGAGTTCAAGGATGCTGGCCACTCCATCCTATTCTTCCTTCACCTTCTTTTAAAATTTTCTCCTTTCTATTTAGCCAGCCTTCATCAGTCCCTAGATGTCCTGTGATAAAATATAGTCTGGATTCCCAGGAGGGAGAGAGTGGATTCCAGAGGAGCAACAGGCAACTTAGATCAGATAATTTGTGTGAGAGAATGAGGATGGAAAACTGCTTCTGCTTAAGAGTTCCCAGAGTATATGCTTTATGCTGATGGAGTCTGCTTTAGTCTGGCAAGATTCTGTCTGGCTACTGACCTTAGAACCAGCTAGTAAAAATCTATTACACTACTTTAAGCCTTGGGTAGTTCCCCTCCCTTTTAAAAGAAGGAATCTGCTTGGAAGAATCACTTGGCATTTGGAGCCTGACAAATCCTCTCTGAATTGGTTTTCTTCTTTCCCCTTCACGTTTATTTAATAATAATAATAATAATAATAATAATAATAATAATAATAATAATAATAATAATAATAATAATAATAATAATAATAATAATAATAATAATAAAGTTGGAAGGGACCTTGGAGGTCATCTAGTCCAACCTCCTGCTCAGGCAAGAAACCCTATACCAGTGGTTCTCAACCTGTGGGTCGGAACCCCATTTGGGGGTTGATCGACCATTTCACGGGGGTCGCCAAGCAAGGCTGTCCGCCATTTTTTCCCCCTTTTCCGGTGGGTGCCTTACCTCCCTTGGGCTGGGCCAGCTGGTGGTCGGCCTGCTCCGTCTCTGCCGCTTGCCAGCTACACCTCGGCCCGCGCAGGGGGCAGAACCACGCATGCGCGGCGCTCCTGGGCAGGGAAAGTCCTCGACTTACGACCGGTTGGGTAGTCCTCGACTTACGACCGGTTGGGTAGTCCTCGACTTACGACCGGTTGGGGGTCGCGGCATTAAAAAGGTTGAGAACCACTGCCCTATACCATCTCAGACAAATGGCTGTCCAGTCTCTTCTTAAAGACTTCCAGTGTTGGAGCATTCACCGCTTCTGGAGGCAGGTTGTTCCACTGGTTAATTGTTCTCACTGTCAGGAAGTTTCTCCTTAGTTCTGGGTTGCTTCTCTCCTTGATGAGTTTCCATCCGTTAGCGGTGTCTCGATAGGTTTACCAACTTTGCAATTTCTCAAGCTGACAGGACTTCTCTCTCCACACCCTTGCATGTGGTTGGTGCCATTATGGCAGTGTAAGCAATGGCACCCAGCTTCCCAACACTGGAAGCAGTATGCTACTTTGCATCTTCTTAGTCTCCTTGAGCACAGGTCACCCTTAGGAGCTCCTGTAACTTGATAAAATTAACTGACATGAGATATGAGTCTCATAGATATAAAACGAGGAGGGAACTGCATTTGTGTTTTTCAGCTGGATTCTTCCCCCACATTGACTTCCTGGAAAATGCTAAGCTTCAGGTGCATACCGCGTGTAGCAATGTCGTTGACACCTGATTGGAATCCATCACGGGCTTAGCAGCCCTTGTGACCTCTTCAGCTTTATCATCATGATTCCTGTAGGTGTGTTATTTTTTAGAGGGAAGAGAGAAAGAGAGGGTTAGCTCGCCACTATCTCTCCAGCCGTTCCAAGGACCCATTAAAACTTTTACAGCCTGGATTGCGCAGCTTGCAAAATGAGGTCATGCCTTCTGAGTCTTGTGTTTAAGTGACACTTTTCTTGCAATTGTCTTGCGGCAAAATCTATCTCCCAAAGCCGGCATGGTGCAAATTACCTTAAATTAAATGGCCAGGCAGAGTAGTCTTAGCTAGGCAAAATTAAAGTGACCTCCCATCTTCTACAGCAGGGATCCGAAGCCTATTGCAAATTGACCCCAAGCAATTTGTGTGCTGCCTCATTTTGATCAGCATGGTTGTGTGTTTTCTGACTGTGTGCAGCTAGTCCTCGACGTACGGCAATTGGGACCGGAATGTCTGTTGCTAAGGAAAGTGGTGGTTAAAGGAGTCGTGCCCTGGTTTTATGACCTTTTTGCCATGGTTGCTAAAGAATCGCTGCAATTGTTAAGTGAATGGTGCAGTTGTTAAGCAACTCCATCTTCCCCCATTGACTTTGCTTATCAGAAGCTGGCAGGGAAGGTCTCAAATGGAGCTCACGTGAACCCAGGACTCTGCAACTGCCATAAATACATGCCAGTTGCCAAGGGCCCAAATTTTGGTCATGTGACCGTTGGGATGCCGCGACATTTGCAAGTGTGAGGACTGGTCGTAAGTCACTTTTTTCAGTGTTGCTGTAACTTCAAATGGTCACCAAACAAGTGGCTGTAAGTCACGGACCATCTGTATATGGTTCACTCTAGTTTAAAATGCTTCTCTGGAAGCCTAATGTAGACATAATGGAAAACAGGATAACAGTTGGAAGGGACCTTGGAGGTCTTCTAATCCAACCCTCTGCTCAAGCAGGAGACCCTGTATCATTTGAGACACATGGTTATCCAATCTTTTCTTAAAGACCTCCAGTGTCAGAGTACCCACAAGCTGTTGCACTGATTAATTGTTCTAAGTGTCAGGAAATTTCTCCTTAGTTCTAGGGTGCTTCTCTCCTTGATTAGTTTCCATCCGTTGCTTCTTGTCCTGCCTTCAGACGCTTTGGAGAATAGCTTGACTCCCTCTTCTTTGTGGCAGCCCCTTAGTTACAGTATTAAAACACTGCGATCATGACACCCTAGTTCTTCTTTTCATATAAGTCATGGAAAGCTCTGGCACTGGAAGGGCTGGGTGCTGTCTCATAGTTGGCATCTCCAGAATCCATAAACTTGAAGTCACACTCACCTTCAGCTATGAAAGGTCACAAGATGACTCTGAACCAGTCATTAGCCCAATTCACTACGAGGATGAAGTTGGAAAACAAGTATCCTGTATGCCTCCTAAATCTATGAGTAAACGAAGGAAGCTAATTTATCCTGAGCCATTCACTTGACTTGTTAATGATGTGCAATGGCACTTTTCAGGATTTTGAGTTTTTCCTATCTGCATCGTTGGATATGAGACAGCTAGAACTGGGGACCTTTTGTGTGCAGAACAGATGTGCTACAACTGTGCTGTGAGGAGTCTCGGATGCCGTAATTAATGCTAATGTGTAAATGGGAGCTACTGAGTGACAGGCTGGAATTCAAGGATATGTTTCCATGCAAAGAGAGCCTAGCTGAGATGTCATCATCTCCTCATAGAACTGAAGAAGACCCTGGAGTAGATTCTTAGAGAGCAAACAACAACATTGAGCGATGTAGGTGGACCAATGAGTCTGGCTTGGTCCAGGACAGCTCTCACTGTTCCTTTGTTTCTATTTTTAAAAAAACGCCCTATCATTAACAGAACAACGAAATGCAGTATTTACCACTTTAATACCTCCTTTTTTTTGTTCGTGTAATACAGGTTGCACATGAGCAAACTCCATTCTCACTCCACCTTCACAGCCTCCAAAAATCACATGAGAATGGGGCGTGCTTTTGAGAATAGTTGTGGTCAAATGTTGGTGGCGTGTCAGCCAAAGCAGCATGGTGTGTCACCTTTGACATGCATGTCATAGGTTCACCGTCACTGCTCTAAGCCGTATCAAGAACCTGCAGGCACCCTTCGCTCCTGCCTGCCACTACTTTCTATGGAAATTAAGCATGGACAGTTGACTTTGACTATAGCATGAGCAAGGCAGATGATCCAGAAAACATTTTCTGCATTGATCTAACATATGCATTGTTCACGCTTCCTGTTGTTACGCTTCAGGCTTCAGTCGAAACAAGCTTCTTGAACTAGTTTACAGCCCTTGAGATCCTTCAGGGAGGGAAGCAGGCATAGGGCAAGAGGGGGGGTCTGTTTTATTTCTTGGTCATCAACTGTATGAAAGTGCAACTATCAATAAAGAACAATGTGCTTTTAAAAGATTGTTGGTCCATGTTCGTCAGCTCATAGAAGAAGCTTTTCTACAATTCTACAGACTCTTGCAAGTCTGTGGGCGAGCTCAGCCTAGTTAGTAGATAACAAGTACTGTTGTGGGTCCATGTTTCTTTTCTCCTTTCTGGAAAATTCAAGGGAATTCTATAGCTTCTGATGCAGCTTTGGAACCCACACCGCCCAAAAAAACTAACTAACCCTTTTCTTTCCTCAACGTCATGATCCTTATTTATTTATTCCTTTCCACACACAGCAGTCACCGTAGAAAACCTGCTAGACTTGGAAAATGTAACCAAAACTCCTTTGAACACAAATTCTTTGCACGTGGATGGCCGAATCTTTGGGCCCCCTTCATCAGAAAACAATAATGTGTGGGTAAGTGTGGTGATCTTAGCAAAGACCTCATTTAGTAAGTATGTGCTTCACATCCAGCTCTAGTGTGGCTTGTGTGGTTTTGGGCTTGGTGTATTGTCGATCGCTGTTCATTGTGGTTTGCCTAGGGTGGATTATGACGTAGTGCGTTGTGCGGTCTTAATCAGCTGTGCTTTATTCAATCAACTGGAATTAAAATAAGCCCATGGCTTTGCACAATGGGTAAATCGGAATAGTACTGCAACTTGCTATTGAGTTATAGGGCATCTTCTGAAAGAACTTTTTCATTTGCTGCTGGAATGGGAGCAAAATTGCCTTTTTTGGTGCGTGGATCTGGAGATCTACAGTATGTTTTATTGTTCCCCTAGGCTGCTGTATTAAGTTGGGGCCGGGTTTCCTGCCTCTTCTGCGCTTTGTTTTACAGCTCAGACATCTCAAGCTTTTCTGATCAAAGGAAAGAAAGTGGCTTCATTTTTTCAGGATTATTTTTTTTCCTCCCACTAATATATAACAAGTCAGATGTAGGGAGAGATCAGTCTATGGCAGTGGTGGCGAACCTATGGCACGCGTGCCAGAGGCGGCACTCAGAGCCCTCTCTGTGGGCACACGCACCGTCGCCCCAGCCCCGCCTCCCCCCACGGCCCCCTCCTCACCAGCAGCCCCCCCAGAGGAGAGTCACCCCCCCAGGCAGCGCAACCAAGAACATAGCCAGGAAGCAGAGACAAGACTCCGCCCTCGTGCCCCATAGCGTGCAGATGATGCTGCGGAGTGTGGGCAGAGGGCGTGGCTGCCATGGTGCTGCAGGGCTGCCTGGGTGATCTGCTGTGGCGGGCCATGGAGGCGGTGCCTGGCCCTGCGGGCAGGCAGGGCAGGAGGCGGGCGGAGAAGGCAGGGCGGGGGCGGAGCAGGCAGGGCGGTGGCGGAGCAGGCAGGGCGGGGGCGGAGCAGGCAGGGCGGTGGCGGAGCAGGCAGGGCGGGAGGCGTAGCGGGGGGCGGATTTTGGGCACTCGGTCTCTAAAAGGTTCGCCATCACTGGTCTATGGCATCGCACTGTTGCAGACTTCTGAAACTACCAACTCTTTCCCATAGGTGTGGTGGCCTAGATTAACACTCTGTCCTTGACTTATGAGCGCCGTTGGGAACAGAATTTCTGTCGCTAAGCAAGGCAGTTAAGGAGTCTTGCCTGATTTTGCAACCTTTCTTGTTTGTTAAACGAGTCACTGCAGTTATGTGAATCCTACAATCATTAAGCAAATCCAGCTTTCCCCTGTCAATGTTGCTTGTCGGAAGCTGGATGGGGAGGTTACAAATGGCGATCACATGACCCCAGGATGCCGCAACCATCATAAATATATACTGGTTGCCAAACATCTGAATTTGCATCACATGATTGTGGGGAAGCATTGATGACCATCATAAATGCGAGCATCAATGACAAGTCACTTTTTTCAGTGCCATCCTAATTGGGAGCAAGTCAGTAACTGAACGGCTTTCTCCTCACTTGGCAGGCGGCCTAACAGATTGTGGCTTCTCTTGTTCCTGTCTGACTCTTCAGTATTGTCTTATTTCTCCGTTAATGCTCAGGTCCAAGTGGTTTTCTTGTATAACCGCATCATTTCTTTTTCTTGCTTGTTTGCATATCTGCTCTGCACGTGCCGGGAAAAGGCAGAATCAAACACCAAATAGATAAAAGAGCAATTCAGAAGTACAGTGTGCTTGTCGTGTTGTGCCATGTCCTCTCTCTAGGGCAGGGGTAGGCAACCTTGGCTCTCTTATGACTCGTGGACTTCAACTCCCAGAATTCCGGAGCCAGCATGGGGGAATTATAGCCCCTTCATGGCTTGTGGACTTCAACTCCCAGAATTCCTGAGCCAGCCATGCTGAGGGGAAAGGGAGAAGTTTCCAAGCTGAGCCATGCTGGCTCAGGAATTCTGGGAGTTGAAGTCCATGAGTCATAAAAGAGCCAAGGTTGCCTATCCCTGCTCTAGGGAGTGGAAGGGGAGTGGGAGCAGTGGCTTTCTCGCCCCAAAGGTGCTTTTTCAAAATGCAACTGGACTTTTTCAGGTCCTTGAAAGCCAGAACTGAAAAAGCTTCTTGGATGAGAAGCAAAACAGTTTCAAGGGGAAAAAAAGCCAGAAAGTCCAGCTACCTTTTGAAAAGCACTTTGACCTGGATCAGGGGTAGGCAACCTTGGCTCTTTTATGACTCGTGGACTTCAACTCCCAGAATCCCTGAGCCAGCATGGCTCAGCTTGGAAACCTCTCCTTTCCCCTCAGCATGGCTGGCTCTGGAATTCTGGGAGTTGAAGTCCACGAGTCATAAAAGAGCCAAGGCTGCCTACCCCTGACTTGGATGAATGAGAATCTCCATAGAAAGTGGCTTTCTCCTTGGAGCAAAAAGACAATTTTGCATGAGCACCAATCAGCACGACTAAGGAGAGGAGAAGTTTGTCACTGTAATTTGAGCATTCTTGGAGCAATTGAGGTTCCTTCACTTCTCCGATAATCTCTGCATATGTTGCTGCTTTCAATTTCTCTGCCTTTGTCAACGGGTGAACTCCAGGGATCAAAACCCTACACGAGAGAGATTTTTTTTGAAAGGGGATCTGATCTGTGAGGATCAGGGAATCCAGAGCGAAGCTACAAGGAATTTGAAGATCTTCAATGAAGAATAGCACATCACCTTTGTTTTGCATTGTTGGACTCGCTCATAGAAGGGACCACTCAAATCATCAAGACCGCCCCCTGCTCAATGCAAGTAAACAAGGATGGATCCAAAGCAGATGGCTACCCTGGTTCCATCTGAACCCATCGAATAAAGAGCAGCCAAGACTTCTCTGGGCAATTGGTTTCACTGTCCAACTGCTTATATCAGTATTTTTTTCAACCTTGCAACTTTAAGACGTGTGGACTTCAACTCCCAGAATGCCCCAGAATTCTGGGAGTTGAAGTCCACACATCTTAAAGTTGCAAGGTTGAGAAACACTGGCTTATATCATTATAGACAGTTTTATTTCACACTGAGTTGCAATTTACCTGGATTGGTCCAGTGCAGAAGAGAAGCCCATCATCAGTTCCTTGAAGACCTTCGGCAAATTTCCCCAAAGTTGCTTTGTAGCTTTTGGCCCCAAAAGAACTAACATGCATGGGAAAGCTGGAACTAAGCAGATGGCTTCTCCACCCCATCCTATTCAACTTCCATGGAAAACAAGCAGGTGGACAGAAGATGGTTGGAGAGCTTCAGGTTTACCTTGTCAGATGCCTTGTCTGTGAGCACTAATACGCTGCGTTGTCCTCTTGTCATCTAACAAAGGAGGAAGGGCTACTGACCTTAGAACCAGCTAGTAAAAAATCCATTACACTACTTTAAGCCTTGGGAAGTTCCCCTCCCTTTTAAAAGAAGGAATTGCAGATACAGTAGAAAAAGCACCTGCTTAAGCCTATGTGATATTTGAATAATTTTCATTTCAGTTGGATTTATAGTTTTATTTCTCCCCTCCCCTTTCTTTTTATAACAAAGGCAATGGATGACGAGCTGGATGAAGCATTTTCAAGGTAATTATGATCAAGTCTTCCAGGAGCATCTTTCTGCTAGGGGCTTGGCCAAGAACTAGATTTGATTAATGAACTCTCCCTTCTCTTTCTCTTAAACTAAGCCAGGGGTCTTCAAACTTGGCCCTTTTATGACTTTGGGAGTTGAAGTCTAGAAGTCATAAAAGGGCCAAGTTTGAAGACCCCTGAACTAAACTGTCAAAAGGAGCCCAACCCTTCATTGGTGGTCTGTTTGACTAATTGAACAAGGGATTCGGATAAGTCAAATATTTTGATAACTTCTTAGGGGAGGGGCTAATTTGTGTGTACAGGTAGGCACATCCCTTAAATCAGGGGTAGGCAACCTTGGCTCTTTTATGACTCGTGGACTTCAACTCCCAGAATCCCTGAGCCAGCCATGCTGAGGGGACAGGGAGAGGTTTCCAAGCTGAGCCATGGTGGCTCAGGAATTCTGGGAGTTGAAGTCCACGAGTCATAAAAGAGCCAAGGTTGCCTACCCCTGCCTTAAATGCATCATCCCTTAAATACATCATTCTTTTGGCGAATGCTTATAAAATGGAGGTTGCTGAAACTGGAAGCTCTCCCCTTCTAAAATGGAGGGCAATCTGTTTGAATCTGGGCTTGTATTTCAACTCCCAACCTACAAAGGGAAGAACTGGGGAGAAAATTTAATCGATGGTCACGTAGCAGCACACACTGAAAAAAAGGTGCACACTTTTAGGTTCTCTAAAATTCTTTGTCAGGTGAGATATTGGCAAAATGCCAGGAAGAAACCCATAAAGTCTGGCCAGATTTCAAAGGCAGTAAAATTGGAGATGATCAACTGGGTGCATTTATAGGGTCATTTCACGCAGCCTTCAAACAGACACCCCTTTTACCATTTTTAGAAGACATTCTTCCTGATTCATTTTTGGTTTCATTCCAAAATAGCCCATCATGGAATTTCCCTGATAATACCTATAGATGCCTTCTTGGTGGTGGCCCCAAGGCTGTAGAACAACTTACCCCCAAGCTGTTATATTCATACAGGTAGTCTTCAAGTTACAATCATAACGGAGCCTGTTCTTAGAGTCAAAAGTCATGATGGTTGTAAAGGAGGTCAATTACATGTCTGACCTGATTTTATGAGAATGGGACCAACTAATCTTAGGAATAAATGAGCATAATAGAGAAAACACAATTCTTCTGAGCCCACACTGCCGGTTCATGTATCTGCCTTGTCTCATCAAAGTTCACAGCACCGAGTCCTAGAGCCAAACAACCTGTTTTGGCACCTAAGGTGGAAAATTTCACAAGGCCAGCTGTGCCTCCCAACCTGTAAAAATGCAATGAGAAAAGACTCCATAAATAACCCTGGCTTTTATGGACATCTCTAATCAGCTATTGTCCCCCAAACCTTGGCAACTATCAAGCTGAGTAAAAGTCAACTCAGGAATTTTGAGATTCTATCTAGGTCGGGGTAGGCAACCTTGGTTCTCTTATGACTCGTGGACTTCAACTCCCAGAATTCCTGAGCCAGCCAAGCTGGCTCAGGAATTCTGGGAATTGAAGTCCACAAGTCATAAAAGAGCCAACGTTGCCTACCCCTGATCTAGGTGATGACCGTGAACGCTCAAGAAAGGCTTCCTTGTCGACAAAGCTACTTGAGTACCTTGACTTAACTGTGTTACATACATGCAAGAAAGTGCATGCACTACATTTAATGGGTACACAGTAGAGATCAGTGTTCCTCAACTTTAGGAACTTTAAGACAAGTGAACTGCAACTCCCAGAATTCTTCAGCCTGCAGCAGCAGGTTTAAACTGTCAGGAGTAAAGGAAGCTATTCAACTGCTTTATGGGTTTCAGCCTAGCTTGCAGTCAAAAGTTGCACAGGTAGGCCTTGACCAGGGGTAGGCCAGGGTAGGCAACCTTGGCTCTTTTATGACTCATAGACTTCAACTCCCAGAATTCCTGAGCCAGCCCTGCTGAGGGGAAAGGGAGGTTTCCAAGCTGAGCCATGCTGGCTCAGGAATTCTGGGAGTTGAAGTCCACGAATCGTAAGAGAGCCAAGGTTGCCTACCCCTGACCTAGATGACAGACAGACAGACAGACAGACAGACAGACAGACAGACAGACAGACAGACAGATAGATAGATAGATAGATAGATAGATAGATAGATAGATAGATAGATAGATAGATAGATAGATAGATAGATAGATAGATAGACCTAGATAAGGGGTAGGCAACCTTGGCTCTTTTATGACTCGTGGACTTCAACTCCCAGAATTCCTGAGCCAGCCATGCTGAGGGGAAAGGGAGAGGTTTCCAAGCGGAGCCATGCTGGCTCAGGAATTCTGGGAGTTGAAGTCCACGAGTCATAAAAGAGCCGAGGTTGCCTACCCCTGGCCTTGACTTATCACCACAAGTGAGCCCAAAATTTCCATTGCTAAGCCAGAGAGTGGTTGTGAACTTTGCCTCCATTTTACGATCTCTCTTGCCCTCACTGATTTAAGCAGTCATGTAGACCTGGATTGAAATACTAATTAGAGGCACACAATTACCTCCAAATTACAATATGCGTATCTGTTAACAACTGTGACACATCACCACCATCTGTTTCCTAGCCAAAAGCTTGTTTTCCTTTTGGGTCAAAGGAAAAGCTTCTTAACCGAGAAAATGTAATCTTTTCAGCTTCCTGAATCATGCTTTTTAATCAGGCGCTTCCAAGCAGATGACACCCTGATTCTTTCTGTAATCAGGAGCTGATTATAATCATGGCCGGCTGGAGAATTCTGGGAGTTGAAGTCCACAGGTCTTAAAAGTTGTCCAGGTTGGACACCCCTGGCTTAAATAAACACGGGTGGTGTTCCTTTCCTGGTGCTCCACCCTGTAATATCACATATCTTTTTGCTTATAATATTTTTGTAGTGTGAGTAGTTCCCTCTCATTTTTTGGCAACAGGCCATTCGTTTTCCACAAGGCATGCAGAGATGCCTTCAGAGTTGTGTCTTTCCCAGGTCTACTACGCTGAGAAACTGCTAAAGGGCTTTCCAAGATTTGCCTTTATTTGTTCATGAGCCTGTAGGAAAGTTTCCTTTGAGGATCGTCCTTCGGGACAGGGAAGATGTTCTCACAGATCCTTCCACGGTGACATTATTAGGGTTTGTTTCTCATGAGGTCATCTGGTGGCTTTGGACCAACTGCTCCCTCTGCTGGCCAGCCTTGCACAGAGGCATGACGAAGGTTTTCAAAAGGATGAAGTAGGCAGGACCGAATTGATCCATTTCATTCAAGGTCTCATTTGGGGGGATTATTTCAGCATCATCGTTTCTCATTTTGATACTTTGGAGAAACTGTTCGGCACCTTGGACTTCAGATTTCGTATGTTAACATTTTTGGTGCCTGTTGGGATGAGCGTCAAACAAGCGTTTTAATTCACAATTTGCCTGACGCTTTTTTTTTTTTCCCTGATAGTTTTCCCTAACAGAATCCAGTTGTGTACCTTATTTACACGCCTGCAGGCCTTTTGGTGCAGATTTCCCTGGAATTCATTTTGGTGAACCGAGTTCAAAATCTGAGAACCTGATCGCCTTGGAGAAAACGAAACCTGTCCATGGTTTCTCTTCATATTGTGAAAATCTTTTACCTTTTATTAAAGGTTGCCTTTCCCATAGAAGAATCAGATTTTCCAGCCAAATCATCTTGGGCCATCTTTCCTAGTGGACTATTTTTTTTTTTCTTTTCTGGGATTTAATTCTATATTTCTGTGAGGGGGCACACCTGTAGCATGAAGCGATATCTTCTTCTCCTTGGCAAGTCAGCACTAGCACCTTTCTCCAGGTACGTTTCTTCACCCTTTTGTCTTGCCTTGTCATTCCAGGCTGGCACAGTCCCGAACCAACCCACAAGTCCTTGACATCAGCCTGACACCTCAAGACATCCAAAGTGCTCAAATCCTCTCGCCGGTTGACTGGGACAAAGTAGATTCCATGATGGAGGCCCCAAAAGATGAACAGCTCTTTGAGTTCTAACATCTTTTTTGTTTTATTTTGTTTTCCCTTGTTAAGCTTTTTGCTCCACAAGTAAGATAACCTCTAGGAACCTGATGCACTGTATTCTCCTGACTGTAACTGGAAAGGGTTAGTTAAAAGAGAAGAGGCCCAAAGCCTTGGTTTGGTTTAGGTAGGAGTTGTGTTGACGCCCTTCAACTTTTGACCAAAGTTTTATTTCAGCTTTCCCCCCCCCCCCCAAGTGTCTTCCAGATATGTTAGGACTATAGGAAGCATATCTGGCGGATACCAGATTGGGGAGATGGTTTGAGATACTTTAATACAGCTTTTTATGTATGACCTTTTTGGGTCTTTGCTTTTATGGAGATGACAAGGTGCTCCTTGAGTAGATTTATTTAAGACTCTTTCAAATTTGCATCTATTATGGAGATATGTAGCATCATGTAGCTTAGCATTATAGCATTGGACAGTTTCTCCCTTGGGATTGCATGTGATAAGCAATTGTGACAGCTGTGTTTTCTGAAGGACGCAGGATCTCCTTAGCAATAACAGAACTTTCAGATATTTTGTTTTAGAAGAGCTGAACTGGCTGGAGTGGACTGGAGAAATAATGTTGGTCTCCTTAGGACAGAGCTGATAATAGCTACCCAGGTATTAGACATGGCAAAACTAAAGAAGGATCTTGATTGGGTTCAGAAATGAAGTCGTTCAAACCATTTGATTGTCCTTGGTCATCATGAGAATGAGTCTCTTCTTACATCCTTTGTAGTTCAAATCCATCACTTTTTCTTCCTGCTTCTGCACCTTAACACCTTGCTTTTATATTTCTCAGCCATAATATTAGATAGCAGCTCATTGTTACCTTGAGCAACTCTGACTTCTAGCTTACCTCACATAAGTAGGATGCTACAAGCTTTGGACGTTGTCTTATAAAAGATCGGGAAGCAATGACCTTCTCAATTGGAGCCAATAGTTCCCGGCATCCTAATCTAGTTGATGGCATCCCATAGCACAG